GGGGGGGGCCTCTTTGTGGGCAGAGGGGAGGGATCCAGCCTCTTCCCCCGCCAGTGGGATGCGGTGGAGGTTTCTGTTAGATTTGGCCGATCAGACTGTGTGCTATTATCTGCCCTCGGAAATGGCTAACGTGGAGACTATTGGAAACATACCGTCAAAGTTATTTTTGTGCTTGGGCTTTCAGAAGTGCTGTCTGCAAATCTCCGTAAAGGAAATTCCTGGCATTGTATGGGGCTAATCAGAAATACTGCCTCCCCACCAGGTTACGCTGCTTATAGGGTGGCTTTCAGTCGCCCTTCCAGTGCACCCTTACCCTGTTTGCCCGTGTAAAGAAACCTTGCTCGGGGTAGCAGGTGACTTGCTGGGTCTAGTGGACATGGAGCATTGAAAGACAGCAGGATGGGGTTCATATTTAAAATTCTCGTATTTAAAATTCAAAGTGGCTAGGTCCATTTTATGCAAAGTGGAATAAAAAATACCCTGTTGGAAGAAGCCAGTTTTTATTCTCCTTGTAGGTAGGGATCAGAAAGCACTCTCTAGAAAACTTCTTGGTCAGCAGATTTTGGAAGAGCCAGCCAGTTTCCTCAAGGTTCAGGGTGTCCGAAGTGTCCTTGCCTGGACCTCAAGGTCCAGGGTGTCCTTGTCCCTTGCTGGGCAAGCAGAGGACGAGAAGTGTGCTAACTGCTGGTGACCTGTGCTCAGCTGTTAGGTGACTACGACAAGGTGAAGGCGGTGTCCGAAGGCTCGGACTGTCGGTGCAAATGCCTGGTCAGACCCCTGGGCCGCGGCGCCTGCCAAAGGATTAACGAAGGCACTTTCAAAGCAGAGGATTTTTACACGGTGGAAACCATCACGTCAGGACCCAGCTGCAAGTGTGCGTGCGTGGCCCCCCCCTCGGCGCTCAATCCTTGTGAGGGGGACTTCAGGCTGAAGAAGCTGCGGGAGGCGGAGAGCAGCGACCTGAAGGTAGGAGAGCAGCTTGCAATTCAGGGCTCTTTTGGGAGGAGGAGGTGTTGTCTTATATTTCTGTTTTTTTTCTATAAAACTTTTTTCCTAAACTTTTTTCTAAAGAAATCCCGTAGCGTAGTTTGTATCTGCATGTTTTATGTAAAAATCAAGCTCAGCTTAAGAGATTGATTCAAGCAGCTGCAGTCGATGATTCACTCAGCATCACGCTGCCCGATTTATCCCCTGCTGCCTAGGGTCCGCTGTGGCTGCCTGCACTGGAAGCCCAGGAGGGACTGGGCTGCTGCCTGCCCGTTGTCCAGCGCTCAGCGTCCCCAGGGGGACAGCTCTGCTCCGCACAACAGCTGCCAGGTCTCGTTCCCATCGCAGAGAAGGGGCTCCCGAAGACCCATGCAAAAAGCTGTTTTGGCTTCCATGGGCCAAAAGCCACCGATGCGTCAGCGTGAGGGTGTGTTATACAGCTGGCTGATAGCAGGATGGGTTTTGTTGTTTTAAATGTTGATGCTTCTATACTATTTAGCATTTTATCTCTTCAATAATATGTACCTCTTCTCTGAACGTGATGGTGTTTGTTCTGAGTACTCATGACTTTTCTTGGATGCTTACTTCTGGTGGTCTAGCAGCTGGCATCAGAGCCTACCGAGTTTTCCAGTTTGTTACTGGGTAGGGCAACAGAAATCCTCCCCAAAGGGTCACTGGCTTGGTCCAGCCCTGGGGAGTCCCCAGAGCAGAAGGTTGTGTGCTGGTGGCACTCGTGTGGGTGGTGGTGGGACGTTCCCCGTGGCAGTGCTGCTGGTCCCAGCTCAGGTGGGAAGGCAGGCATCGTGCGAGGTGCTGCAGAGCAGCCTCCCACCAGGGCCATCACGATGGGTTTGTTCTAATTAATTTGGAGCTGGAGGATGTGTTTCATCTTGTCCAACTGCAGACAGTTAGCAGCTTCTTGTCCAAGCTCCCCTGCAGCTAGAGAAGATAAACAGGCACAGGCAGACAATCCATCATTTCAGGGAAAGAGGCTCCCCGGCTTGGAAGTGTGTAGGTAGGGATCAGAAAGCACTCTCTAGAAAACTTCTTGGTCAGCAGATTTTGGAAGAGCCAGCCAGTTTCCTCAAGGTTCAGGGTGTCCGAAGTGTCCTTGCCTGGACCTCAAGGTCCAGGGTGTCCTTGTCCCTTGCTGGGCAAGCAGAGGACGAGAAGTGTGCTAACTGCTGGTGACCTGTGCTCAGCTGTTAGGTGACTACGACAAGGTGAAGGCGGTGTCCGAAGGCTCGGACTGTCGGTGCAAATGCCTGGTCAGACCCCTGGGCCGCGGCGCCTGCCAAAGGATTAACGAAGGCACTTTCAAAGCAGAGGATTTTTACACGGTGGAAACCATCACGTCAGGACCCAGCTGCAAGTGTGCGTGCGTGGCCCCCCCCTCGGCGCTCAATCCTTGTGAGGGGGACTTCAGGCTGAAGAAGCTGCGGGAGGCGGAGAGCAGCGACCTGAAGGTAGGAGAGCAGCTTGCAATTCAGGGCTCTTTTGGGAGGAGGAGGTCTTCTGAAGCCTTTTCTTTCTGAGCTTTTTCTATAAAACTTTTTTCCTAAACTTTTTTCTAAAGAAATCCCGTAGTTACTTTTGTATCTGCATGTTTTATGTAAAAATCAAGCTCAGCTTAAGAGATTGATTCAAGCAGCTGCAGTCGATGATTCACTCAGCATCACGCTGCCCGATTTATCCCCTGCTGCCTAGGGTCCGCTGTGGCTGCCTGCACTGGAAGCCCAGGAGGGACTGGGCTGCTGCCTGCCCGTTGTCCAGCGCTCAGCGTCCCCAGGGGGACAGCTCTGCTCCGCACAACAGCTGCCAGGTCTCGTTCCCATCGCAGAGAAGGGGCTCCCGAAGACCCATGCAAAAAGCTGTTTTGGCTTCCATGGGCCAAAAGCCACCGATGCGTCAGCGTGAGGGTGTGTTATACAGCTGGCTGATAGCAGGATGGGTTTTGTTGTTTTAAATGTTGATGCTTCTATACTATTTAGCATTTTATCTCTTCAATAATATGTACCTCTTCTCTGAACGTGATGGTGTTTGTTCTGAGTACTCATGACTTTTCTTGGATGCTTACTTCTGGTGGTCTAGCAGCTGGCATCAGAGCCTACCGAGTTTTCCAGTTTGTTACTGGGTAGGGCAACAGAAATCCTCCCCAAAGGGTCACTGGCTTGGTCCAGCCCTGGGGAGTCCCCAGAGCAGAAGGTTGTGTGCTGGTGGCACTCGTGTGGGTGGTGGTGGGACGTTCCCCGTGGCAGTGCTGCTGGTCCCAGCTCAGGTGGGAAGGCAGGCATCGTGCGAGGTGCTGCAGAGCAGCCTCCCACCAGGGCCATCACGATGGGTTTGTTCTAATTAATTTGGAGCTGGAGGATGTGTTTCATCTTGTCCAACTGCAGACAGTTAGCAGCTTCTTGTCCAAGCTCCCCTGCAGCTAGAGAAGATAAACAGGCACAGGCAGACAATCCATCATTTCAGGG